CGGCGCGTCACAGCCCCTCACCGCAGGGACCGCCGCCGAACACCACGGCGAGCGCTGGCAGCCCCCCGAACCCGCAGTTTAACCCTCCTTCGCAGAAACCCTCCATGTGGGGCTGCTTGGACGACGGCTCCGTCATCAGGACATCACCACCTTCACCCACCGGCTCCGTTCTGCCCGTCCTCCTCCCCACGGTTTGATACCGGAGCCGCCGGCAAAGGTTTAATCACTCCCTGTCCTCCCCGTCCCCGTCCCACGGAGAAGGATGAGGGGACAGCAGGTACGGATCCGTCCTGGGCTCCCACGGGGAAGCGGCCGAGCGCCCTCCCCCAGCCCAGCGCCCACTCCGGGTCAGGAGGATTCCAGCTTTTAGGAAGAGGCAAAGTCCCAGAAAAGCAGCGAAACTCAAGGGTTGGGAACAAAGGACGTCGGGAGGGATTATCCTCACGGGGACAGGGAAGGGAAGGAAAAGTTGCTCGCTGGAGCAGCACGACGTAGGCACAAGCTGTGGCCACACAAAGAAAACCCAACGCGGGCATGAGCGACGTTAAAGAGCCTCTTAAAACCCATCGCTGCTGCCCGCCCGGATTAAACCCCACCAGCAAGAGGACGGCCCCAAAGCCACTTCCAAGAAGGAAAGCGCTGTGTCTTTAATAAAAGGACGCGGGAGGCTCCCAGGGACCGCGCCGAGCTGTGGGTTTTTATTTATTTTTTCGGTAAGCCACCCCCACGCCTCCCGCCCCCACCACTGCCCTGCAGGGAAAGCACATAACCGTCCTACTAAATCAACACGGTCCTAATGATCTCGCTCACTTGACCCCCTAGCACGACAGTGTCAGATGCAAACACGCGTACAATAAACTTCACTCCATCTTTAGCTTCTCGCTGACAGGTTTTGATTCATGGGGTGCTGAAACCCATCTGAGGAAAATTACCTCTATCACAACGCCGCTATCTCTGCATCTATCAACCCCTGGCAGTGCCCCGGGGCCGTGCTCCGGCGTGCAAATGGGTGCACCAGCATCTGCAGGGAAAGCTGACCTTTCTGGCAGCATGGCAGATTTATTTTCTAACCTGACTACTCCTAGGCTTGTTCCCTTCGCACTCGCGCCACGATAGTTATTTTGTAGGTTGTCTAAAAAAAACGGGGAGCGGGGGAAAGGAGGGGAGGGGGGGAAATCTTTCAGGAAGGACTCCGAGCCGTGACGCTAAAGTCTTCCCTGCGATCTGGTAACAAGGGAGCGTTTACAGCGCAGTATCGCTACATCTGCGCTGCGTGCGATCCCAAAGCTTCGATTTTGCCCCCCTAAATTTCACGAGCGGGGCGGCAGGGCGCTGGCACGGCTCCGCTGTCACAGCATCCCACCACCGTGGGCATCTCCCCTGGGATGCGATTCCTCTCCGAGGGAGATGCAGGCTCCCAGTCTAAACCCCAGGGGCCGCCAGGCTCCGACGGGGGCGGACTCTGTACCACCCCAGGCAGGATCAGGCCCCTCCATCCCCAAGGCCGATGTCCCCAAGCTGCTGCCCGCCCTCTTCCGCGCAGGGAAGAAGGGAGCGAGGGGAGGGGGCTCAGCCCTCCCCGAGCCCCCAGCAGCATCCAGGGGAACCTCAGCCTCCCAGTAAGCTTTTTTTCCCCCCCGACACGAGTGGGGCAGCTCCCTGGTGCGCCAGGGCAGAGGTCCCGAAGGGTAAGAGGGGCTGCGCAGCTCCGGAGCGGCAGAGCGCCTGTCAGCACTGATTAAACCCAGGTTTAACGGCTTCTCCGCTGGCTCGTATCGCTTATTCCCAAAGGAGAGAAGGATCCATTTAAAAACTGGCTCGTTCCCTCTCTCCCGGGAAAAGCAGAAGTGCTGGTGCGGGAAGAGTTAATGCCAAAAGGCATTAATTCATGGTTTCCATGGTGCGAAGAGCTCTGGCACTCACCCTGCCCTGCCAACAGCAGATCCCCCAGCTGGTTACCTCCGAGCAGGACACCCAGCTCCTGCCCCGCTCCCCTCTCCCACCGGAGCTCAGCTCGGAGCTGGAGCTCGGCACGCAGCAGCTACCGCAGCGGTGGAGGAAGGAGCCGCGGCGGCAGTGCGCCGGTGCCACCAGTTCTGGTTAACTTACCTGCAGGACTCAAACTTTTACAGAGGGGAAAACCCCACCGCCGGCCTCGCTCTTTAAGGGCGGACAGAAGTTGATCCCCGGTCACCTAAAAGCATCGCACCGCCTTTGGTGCCCAGGGCGAGAAGCGGGAGAGCCGCCCTCGGCCCCCAGCGCCTCTGAGCTCCTAATAAATGATTCACCACGAGCGTCTCCGCTCTCCGCACGGAGCGAGCTGCTGCAGAGGAGGAGGCCAGCAAGGCCCCACCATCCATCAACACGTCCCTCTGCGCTCCCAGCACGCAGGTCTCGGCCGCGCAGATTGAACAGCAGTCGCTCCGCAGGCGTGCTATGAAACGAGATTTTTGGGAGCAACGGCAGGCTCACCCCGAGCAGGGAGAAGGACGAAGAACCCGGCCGGCTCTGCAGGAGACCCTGGCGCAGATTCAGGGTAGGGGAAAGGCACCGGCGCACGGGAGATGCTCCACGTGTTCAGCTGCCGCCCCGCTTTGGCCGAGCTCGTTGTACGACGGCCGCCACGTAAACGCTACGGCAGCAGAGCCTTCTCCGCGGGGACGGCTCCCCGAGGCGCAGGGAAGCGACTCGCTGGGTGCATCCGCTCTGCGGTTCTACAGCCCAAGGTCGCTATGAAACCTCTGCCCCCGAGGCCTCGTTTCATGCCGCACGGGCAGAGCCCCGCTTTCCCCGCGGATTAAAGCGTCCCCAGGAGGAAAGTGCTCTGGATTTGCAGATGAAGCCCCGAGTATCCTCATCACAAATGCAGAGAGACAGACACGAGCCTCCGTAATCGCATCCTCCGTGTTTTCGTTCTCGGAGAAGGGAAGGGCGCGTGCCCAACGTGTGTATAAAACCGGACCCTTCTGGTCACTCTCCCGTATCTCGCTGCAGCATGACGGATGGCGGGATGAAAAGCAGAGCCCCGAGGCTTTCAGGCGATGGTAGATTAATGATGACATGGCCTTGACCTC